TAAGCATAGTGATGTACGGGGGAAGAAAGTCCTAAGCAGGAGGACAGTAAATTCAAAGGCTCTGAAAGGAACATGCCAGTATATTTTGGGAATATCAAGGAAGCCAGGATGATTGGAGCAGAGTGAACTAGAAAGAGAGCAGATATAGAAAAAATAGAAGATGAGATACTAAGGGAATAAGTTTGAACAAGGTCGGGCCTTATCAGTTGGAGTAAGGACCTTTATATTTACCCTAAACAACACGGGAAGTGAGTGAACAAAGGACATGTGTCTAGATGTGTTGAGGATAGACTATAGGGAGAAAAGAGTGATGGGAGACTGTCTATCTACATCATTCATCACACCAGCAAACCAGAAAAAAGAAACTTCACAATCAAAGCATTTGAAAAAATAAGTCAGCCAGCCCTAATTAAAAAAAAAAAAATAGTAAATTAGAAATAGAAGGAAACTTAATGTTTGTAGCAAAGAATTCTATTTAATTTAATGAATCATTCTTGGTTAAATTAAATATAAAAGAATGTATCCTTAACCTGATGAAAAATATACCAGAAGCTCTTCTGACCTGACAGATTCATTATTCCCTGTGGGTTACCAAAACCACAGAATTTATGGCTTGCCTCCACTCACTGATAGTATTTCTTGGTACTATTTTTGTGTGTGATACTAGTAAACATAAATAAAAGTAACCTTTAAAAAGAGAGAATACATCAGAAACAGTAAAATTTACACTAAACAATGAAACAAAAGAGAAATTCCCATTGACTTCAAGAACAAGATCAGAAGGCTCTGGTCAGTGATAATACATGCAGAAAAGTAAAGACAGGCATAAATATTGAAAGGGAAAAGAAGAAAAATCATCACTTACAAATGATTGCATATAATATACATCTATATAAATGAAAGGGATCACTTGAAAACTATTGTAATTAATGTGACAGATTGGAGCAGGCTGGTATATGGTAGTTAATGTGCTGGATTTTCACATGGTCAACCACGGTTTGAGTCCCAGACCTGGTGGCTTGCTTTCTCACTTTGCCTCTCTCTGTCTCTGTATCTCTCTGGTCAATTTTTTTTTTTGGAGAGGTTTTTGCTATATGGCGCGTGAGCTCGCCAGACAGACAGAGAGACAGAAAGCAAGAAATCACCCCCCAGGGGGGATAGCCACGCCGCAATCCTTTCTCCTCCATTCTCCTCTCGGGATCTTGGGCACGCACGCACACGTGCCCGGCGTGAGTTTTAAGCCACCGGGTCCAGGATGCGAATCACAGTCAACTACGTGGGAGTCCAGCGACATAGCCATTACGCTAACTGCTGGTCCCTCTCTGGTCCAATTTTAAAAATAATATTAATAAATAAAGTAAGTCTTTAAAAATATATGACAGATCGGGGGCACAGTGGTAACACAACCGGACCCACATGAGAAGGTACTGAGCTCTCTGGACTACAGCATGAAGACCATGTTGGGGTTGCTTGTCTCTCTCTCCCTTCACTGAAGAAACAAATAAACTTTTTTTAAAAGATATCACAAAAACTGGCAGACATGAAATGAATATACAAGAGTAGAACATTTTTCCCTTAAACAGAAAATTTCCCATGATAAATTTTAATTAAAAAAAAGAACAGCATCTCAGCCACAAAGACTACTAAATACCTAATAAAAACCAAACAAGCAATATGATTACATAGTTGAAGAAACAGACGAAATTTGATAAACATAAAAATAGAATGGAGTAAAATGGATATACATACCATATTCCTGGAGGGGAAGTCTCAAATTAAGAGGTTAATGTTTTTCAGAGTAAAGTGCAGATTTACTGCAATTACAGTACAAATCCCAATGTTTATTTTCTTGTTATTGTCGTTTGGAACTTGAGTAATACATAGTACATGCATAAAACAAAGTTGGCTAGGAGTGATAAAGATAAAATACGTTTCATTTCTCTATGTTTTTATTTATTTCCTTATTGTTCTGAATATTTGTAAACCACTGGAATAGATTCTTTTTACTTTCAGAACAAAAAGATTCGTAATCTGTTTCTAACACTTACCCTCGAGGCTATTACATTTGTTCTTATTACCGGGGAGAGGAAACAGCTTCACAGCATAGTGGCAATGGCCTGGGGTTTGAATCCCCAAACTGTCAGCCTGAAACATGTCCAAGATCCAACAGGCTAGAGGACTAGAGAAGGGGATCACAGTATTTCCAGATCTTCTGGAAGATGCTCATCTCTCTCTCTCTCTCTCTCTCTCTTTCTCTCTCTCTCTCTCTCTCTCTCATGTATTGGCACATACATGCACTCCATCATGAATTGAAAAAATAATTTTTTAGATGTTTGCCATCAGATGTTTGCTCACCAGAAAGACAGAGACAGAGACAGAGGGAGAGTAAGAAATCATTCTTTAAGGGGGATGGCCATGCTGCAATCCCTTCTCCATTCTCCTCTCAAGATTTTGGGCATGCACACACACACACACACACACACACACACAGAGTGTGATTTTCAAGCCACTGTATCTGAGACTTGAACCATGGAGTCGGCCATGTGGGATCCAGTGCCTTAACCACCACACTACCTGCTGACATCAAGAAAATAATTTTTTTAGAGACTTTTTTGCCTTAGGGCACGTGCACTCACCAGAGAGAAAAACAGAGACAGTGAGAGGGAAAGTGAGAAATCATCCCCCAGGGGAAATGGTCATGCCACAATTCCTTCTCCTCCATTCTCCTCCTGGGATCTTGGGCAGGCACACACCCACGCCTGGTGTGAGTTTCAAGCCACCAAGTCCAGGACTTGAACTGCAGTCAGCCATGTGGGAGTCCGGCAATGTAACTGCTACAACCAACTGCTGGTTCCAAGAAAAGAATTTTTTTTTTTTTTAATATCTAGGGGAAGGGTCACAGACACTGAGAACTGACATCAATGACTTCTACTTCTTGGGGAAAAAATGCATTTACCCACATAAGAACCCCCTCCTTGCACTTGGGGCTACAGGATCTTTGAGAGATATGAGTCCTCCTGCAGTCACCAAGTTTGATCAGCAATACTCCTATTATTTGGCTATGTCTGGATGTCCTCTTATTTCTCACTGGTAAGACTATAACATCATCACAAACAAAACCTCACAAGCAAATACAATTTCAGGTGCTCCACAGAGTTGGCTACATGAGGACCCTATTTCTAGGTTAATCAGTGTGCTTAGTGGGGATTGTTCTTAGGTATGAGGCATGTACTTGGCTGAGGGGGTGCCAAGGTGGATGTGACTTGTAGGCAGTGACCTTACAGCAAGGCCTGGGTGCCCTGAAGATAAGGAGATCAGAGGGGAGAGGTTCAGCCAGAGGCGAGAGTTTCAGCAGTCTGCACCTTCCAAGCCAGTTGATGGGTATACAGTATTAGGCCACTTCAAGACAGCAGGTAAGCCTGCTAGATTCCCCCAGAAGTTACTGCTTTAGGTATCATGGAAACCCTCAGCTGCAAAGGCAAGTGGGAACAGTGATCTCTTCTAAACATCACTGGATTACTGCTGTGGGAATTTGGGGGCAAGAGAGATGGCATCAAAGGCATTTACTTAGGTCACTACCTTAAAGGCTCACCTGTCCATTTTTGGAGTAAGCAACAGAATCAGGCGCCTGAATGCAGGGGATAAGCTCTGGAATGTGGGAAGGGGTAGGAAGACAACTCTTCTCCCTTCTTGACAGAGTGAGGAAGATTTGACCACCCTACATTCTTCACAAGCTTAGTTTTCTAGGTCTCACAGCTCTTCCTTTTGCCCAGAATTGAATCACTAAACTGGAACCTAATCTGGGGACAGGTGTTCAAAATTGTCATAGTTACAGCCATCAAATTATAGGAGATTCCCACAGCAGTAAGCAATTGTTTGAGAATATTAAATGTGTTCCTCTAACAGAACAAGGCAATATCATTTATTTTCCAACTTAAAAGCTGTCCCAGAAGGAGAAAAAGTATAATATTATTTGTCTAAAATAAATAAGATCAGACAACTGAACATCTCTCCATGGATTAATTTACAGATCATATGGACATAAGGTTGCTGAAAAAAATTCCATTTTAAGTGTTCGAATACCTTAGCATGTTCTGAAAGTTATGTCCTATGTGGCAAATAGAATTCATTTCCTTTGTGATAAAAATTAACCAAAATTAATGGTGTTTTCCAATGGAAATGGGAAATCTTTCTTACAAAACATGCCCTCCCTTTTTTGTTTCTGTTTCCCACAGTGAATTCTTGCTTGACTGTATATTCCTACTACAAAACAAAGCATAGTAACAGTTTTAAGAACAAAGCAGTAGTATTCCAGAAGAACAGACCCCACACTGTCTGTCTCCTTTCTGACACCTGGCCCCTTACCTATAAAGAAGTGACCCAACTGCAAGGAAAATGATGAGGACTAGGGCCCCAGGGATTGAAGGTGGAGGAAGGAAGTGTCCAGTAACCTAGGAAAGGGTGAGACAATTTCCCAGCAAAAGAGTAAGAACCGTCAAGAGCTCTCTGAGAACATGCAGTCCCTCTCCAGTCACCAGAGAAAGGCAATTCTAACAACAGAGAGAAAGGGCTACTTTTGGCCTCCGGGACTACAAAGACAAAAAATGAGTGACAAGACCTGATGTGATGGGGTGAGGTGGGAGTGAGGGTAAAGGAGGGGGCCCTTACTCTTCGTGGGAGTGGAAATTGGGGACCCAAGCTTACTGGCGATGCGGCCCTCACGTGACTAGGAGCTGACGTGGGCAAAGGTACTTAAAGCCCTGACCGCCGTCCTCCGTCCTCCTCTGGGTACCAACTCTATTTCGCTGCGCACTGCCGCGCGTTTAACCCAGGCGAGGAGGAGGAGGAGAAAATTCCCCCAGCTCCGGGCAGGGGGGTGTGAGGGTGGGCACGGCCTGGGACCCCCAAATAAGGGTTACCTAAGGATGCGGGGGTCCCTTTACGAAGAAACCAGTTACTTCCTCTCCCAGCCGGTGTTTCTTGGTTTTGGTTTTGACACTCAGGCCCTGCACCCCACATCCAGTCCTGTTTTGAGGAGGAGGGACAAGAAATAAACGTGGCAGCGCATATAAGGCCAGCGAGAAGGTTGGGAAAGGGTGACTGGAGGGGCATGCAAAATTCTGAGCTTCACTCCCACCCTCACTTTGCAGACACCTCCCCCTACCATCGCATTCCCCCACCAGCCCGCCCCCAGTCTTTGGGGGTACAGGGGAAATGGGTGTGCCAGCTGGTGAAGGGGAGATGGCGAGTTCAGTACCGCCTGGGCTTCGCAGAAGGGGGGACCCTGAGAAAATCTGGTATTAAATCGCGGTGCTAACTCCCAGACTGCTTTCCAGACATCTCCAGCCCACACAGTCCTTCACCCCGTCTGTTCAGTTCTGGAAAAGGAGTTCGGGTATGCAGGCGGAAGAAATGGCAGTTATCGGGGGATTTGGGTAAGGGGTGGGAGGCGGAGCCCAAAGCGGAAAAACCGTGGAAAATCACGACCCTGAAACCGAAAAGGCAGACCTTCGGGTCTCAGTTCTGCAGGCTGATACAGACTAAGCGGGGGCTGGGGAGCGAAGGACGCGTGATCATAAGAGAGAGGGAAACTAGATTGTTTGGCAGGAATCCCCCCTGCCGCGTCCCATCCAGCTTTCACTGCACCCTCGCCCCGCCCCCCTCCTGCTTCGGTGCAGGAGAAGGGGTGTGGCGGTGTGTCCCGGAGAAATGGCGGCCGGGGGGCGGGGGAAAGGGGAGGGGGGGGTGGACGGGAGGAGCCTGCGCAGGAAGGGGGCCTTGGGATGGGAGGAAGGGCTGAGAGGAGTTGAGGTAACAGAAAAGTAGAATCCTTTGACATAATTGTATAAGAATACTAAAAGGTGATTACTAGGACTTTTGTCCTGGGTGCTGATCTATCCACACTGGAGATTTTCAGTCTCCAGTGTCTGCAGTCTGTATTTCTGCCCTCCAATCTGTCCGTAGGATGAAGCTCTAACTGAAGTGAAGGAAGGAAAAACAGCCCTGAATCCTTGGAGGTCAGTGTGTGGGTGGGAACTGTCCGGGGGCCCCCTGAAGTGGGTGTGGCAGAAACTAAAGCAGAGTCTGGGACCAGAGGTTCCTCCTCCCCCATCTACCCTCTTTAAAAGACACCATTGCCCTGGGCCCATCCTTTTTGGTGCAGGGAAAGGGGTGTGACATTCGCCTTCTTAGTTAATAAATAGTTTGAGAAGGAAAGGATAGGGAGGGAAAAGGGAGCCCTGTGAGAAAACTTTTGACCCACTAGGATGCAGATCAAGAAAGGAGCCAGGATCCATTTACCAAAGGCTCAAAATCGCCCTTTCCGTGATCTGTCCACAGGTCTGTCTGCCTTTGGGGGCTCTGTGCAACTCCCAGCACCTTGGAAAAGCGTAAACTGCCCCTCATCCCAGGACGTTGGTATGTGCTTGAGCATCTCACAGGGACTTTGGGTCCGGGTGGAGGGCATCAGAGCAGAGACAGATCTTTACTGTTTTTCCTGCTATCCACCAGCATTCCATGCTGCCTTTCATCTCTCCATTTAGGTGCTGGGAAATCGTACGTGTTGGCATTGACAGGGAAGGCTAGGGTTGAAGATACAGAATAAGTTGTTCTGAAGCACCAAATGTAGGTCTTCGTACCAGTGTCTGCGTGCTAGCCTGGCCACCAACCTTTGTGTCTCTAGAGTTTCCTCTAAGCAGGCTTGGTTAGGCACAAAGTGTGCCAGAGTCTTAAGCCTCATTTCTGTCCTTTAACTCTAGGTCCTTGCTAGGCTTACAGACTCTGCAGAACTTGTAAGCCTTGACTGAAGAGCCTCCCTGGGACGTGCACATATCCCCTTGGGCAAGCCTGTTTCACACCCTGGATCTGAGAATCACCCCAGCTGAACCATGAGCCGCGTTCGGGATGCGGGCTGCGTAGCTGCAGGGATTGTAATTGGGGCTGGTGCCTGGTACTGCGTCTACAAATACACCAGGGGAAGAGACCAGACCAAGAAGAGACTGGCTAAGCCCAAGAACCGGGCTTTGGCTGGGACTGGAGCCAGGGCTAGAGTTGGGCTAAGGGCTGGATTCACAATCGACCTTGGGCCAGGATTCAGTCCCCCAACCCCAGTCCACACTAAGGTAGAGGACAGGGCCCAGGATGAAGCCTCTGCTCTTGATGCTGCTGGAGCTGAGGCAGTGGCCCTAGCTACTTCCAGTGCTGAGGGTCAGAGTGGGACAGGAAGTCAGGCCCAGGATGCAGATGGAGTTGGGGTTGGGCCTAAGGCCGAATCAGTAGTTGGGACTGCAGCAGTTTCTGCAGTGGTACCACCTCCCAGTGTGGCTGAGGCTCCTGCAACTGCAGATAACCCCCAGGTGGCAGGGACTTCCAAAGTGACAGAAGCTCCCAGCACAGCAGCAGCTCCTGGGGCAGTGGCACCTCCTGGACCAGCAGCACCTACTGTAGCAGCATCACCCAAGGAGACGGCGGCAGTTCCTGGGGTGGCAGTACCCACAGAGGTGGCTGAGGCTCCTAAGGTGGTAGCACCTACTGAGGTGGCTGAGGTGGGACCCACAACACCTGTTGGGGCAGCAACATCTACTGGGGCTGCTACTGGGGCTGCAGAGGCTCCTGGGACTTCAGGGTCCCCCAGAGCAGCAGCAACTCCTGGAACTGCAGCCACCAAGAAGGCGACTCCTGGGGCTCACACTGGGGCTATACCTAAGGCAGGGTCTCCTGCGACTGGAACTGTACCCAAAGGTGGGGCCAAAGGAGGAACCAGGTCCCGGAATGGAGGAAAGGGTAAGGGCAAGAAAAACAAGGTTGAAGTAGATGAACTGGGGCTGGGCTTTCGCCCTGGGGACGGGGCTGCAGCAGCTGGTGCAGCCCCCGGTTATGGGGGGCA